AGGTTGCAGTGAGCAGAGATTGCACCACTGCACTCCAACCTGGGTTACGAAGACTCCATCTTATAATAAATACATAAATAAATACATAAGGCCAGGCACAGTGGCTCACACCTATAATCCCAGCACCTTGGGAGGCAAAGGTGAGTGGATCACCTGAGGTCAGGAGTTCGAGACCAGCCTGACCAACATGGAGAAATCCCGTCTCTACTAAAAACACAAAATTAGCTGGGCATGGTGGCATGTGTCTGTAATCCCAGCTACTCGGGAGGTTGAGGAAAGAGAATCACTGGAACCTGGGAGGCGGAGGTTGCAGTGAGCTAAGATCGTGCCATTGCACTCCAGCCTGGCAACAAGAGCTAAACTCCATCTCAATAAATAAATAAATAAATAAAATAAACTTCCTACCTGCTGATTCCTGTTTCAGAGTCTACTCCCTGAGAGATCCGACTCCCAGCAATATTCAATGGAAAACCAAACTGCCCTCATAGACCTATATTCTGGTGACATATATGTGTGTATGTGCTAATATATGATTAGAATAAAGAAGTTTAACTTTCATTTTTGAAATATTTCCCTCTTCACTATTTAAGCAAATTTGAATAACAGAGGTAATATATTTTTAGAACAGATTTGAATTGGAAAATAAATCTGAACTTCAAGATATTAATAAAAATATTTAGGGTGGTTGTGCAGAAAAGTCAACAGAGCAGGCTTGAGACTACTGTCTTTGGAAAAGCTTGCTTGCGAGGTTGGCCCTTGGCTGGTATCTGGAAACTTACTGGTAAACAGTTCCCTACACTGATATAAACCTTTTCCCAAATGAAAAGAATGATTCACTATGCCTATGCTGTCTGTACAAACAATGTGGTTTATACTGAACACCTGCTTTCCTTCCGGGAGTCTGGAATTTTGGTGCACGCCAGGCAGACGAAGCCTATGTGATCTGCTCCCAGTAGAAACATTAGGTGCTAAGTAGCTAATGAGCTTCTCTGGTAGATAAAACTTCAAGTACTGTCATACTTGTTGTTGTAATTTTTTGCTGGAGGAATTATGTATGTCTTATGTGGCCCTAACTTGGAGAAAACTTTTGGAAGCTTGAGCCTAATTTTCTGAGAATTCATCCCATGAGCTTTATCCCTTTGTTGATTTTGCTTTGTTTTCCTTAGCTAAGGAAGGAAGAAAGGAAGGAAGGAAGGAAGGAAGGAAGGAAGGAAGGAAGGAAGGAAAGAAGGAAGGAAAGAAGGAAGGAAGGAAAGAAATATATATTAGCCGTAAGTACAAATATATGCCAATCTTTATGAATTCTTCTAGTGCATCATTGAATGTGGGAGTGGTCTTGGGGACTCTGACAGTATATGAATTCTTCTAGTGAACCATTGAATATGGATGGGAGTGGTCTTGGGGACTCGGACACAGTGGTTATCGGATAAAATGTTGCTACCTCATTAATCTCCACCAAGGAAATTTGCTATACTTGAGTGGCTCTTACCTTGACCTACATTTAAAAAGGATTCTGACTTATAGCTGATTCACATCTTGGCTTAATTTTTTACAGTGTTAAGTTACATATTAATGTTTTCCCCTACATAGGATAAAGTTACTCAGACAAGGATTACCTGAGTAATTCTTCTGTATTTAGGACCAGGGAAAATTGCGTGTAGATATAACCTTCTAAACTCACAAAACATTTTCCTGGTTTTTTTTTCTTAAGAGACAGTGTCTTGCTCTGTCAACCAGGCTGGATTGCAGTAGTGCAATCGTGGCTCACTGCAGCCTTGAACTCATGGGCTCAGGTGATCCTCCCGTCTCAGCCTCCCAAGCAGCTGGGACAACAGTGCACACCATCACACCCAGTCAATTTTTCTAATTTTTTGTAGAGACAGAGTCTTGCAATGTTTCCCAAGTTGGTCTTGAACTTGAGGCCTCAAGCAATCCTCCCGCCTCAGCCTCCCAAAATGTTGTACGACAGGCATGAGCCACTGCACCAGGCCCTCTGTTCTTTATCTATCTTAAATTGGTTTTATTTACATAGGAAAACGGTTTAAACTGCACTGGCATCTACGTTTATTTTAGTGTCTACTCCAGTGAACATATTTCCTGACTAAAAAGGGTAGGGCTGATGCTGTAATTGTTTAGGCATGCCTTGTCTTATTATGCTTCACTTTATTGTGCTTCAAAGATACTGCATTTTCTTACAAATTGAAGATTTGTGGCAACCCTCTGTTCAGCAAGTCGATCAGCACCATTTTTCCAATAGCATATGTTCATTTCATACCTGTGTCATATTTTGGTAATTCTCACAATATTTCAAACTTTTAAATTATTACTATATCTGTTATGGTGATCAGTGATCTTTGATGTTACTACTGTAATTGTTTTGGGGAGCCATAAACCATGCCCATATAAAACAGCAAACTGTTTAATAAAGGTATGTATGTTCTGACTGCTCTACCAACCAGCCACTCCCGGGTCTCTCTCCCTCTCTTCAGGCTTCTCTATTCACTAAGACACAGCAATATTGAAATTAGGCCAATTAATAGCCCTACTATGGTGCTGAAGTAAAAGGAAGAGTTGCACATCTCTCACTTTAATTTGGCTAGAAATGATAAGCTTAGTCATTTAGTGAGGAAGGTATGTTGAAAGCTGAGATGGGCTGAAAGCTAGGCCTCTTGTGCCAAACAGTTAAGCCAAAGTGTAAATGCAAAGGGGAGATTCTTAAAAGAAATTAAAAGCACCACGTTAGTGAACACACAAATGATAAGGAAGCAAAACAGCCTTTGCTGACATGGAGAAAATGTGAGTGGTCTGGATAGAAGACCAAAGAAGCCACAATATTCTCTTAAGCCAAAACCTAATCAAGAGGAAGGCCCTAAATCCCTTCAACTCTATGAAGGCTGAGAGAAGTGAGACAGCTGCAGAAGAAAAGCTAGAAGCCAGCAGAGGACGGTTCATGAGGCTTAAGGAAAGAAGCCCCCTCCATAACATAAAAGTACCAAGTGAAGTAGCAAGTGTTGATGTCATACCTGTTGCTGCAATTTTTTGCTGGAGGAATTAAGTATGTCTTATGTGCTGCAGCAAGTTACCCAGAACTAGCTAAGATCATCGACGAAGGCAATTACACTAACCAACAGATTTTCAATGTACACAAAACAACCTTCTGTTGGAAAAGGATGCCAGCTGAGAAAAATGGGAAATTCTGGCCTTCTCCATTATTATCAAACCTCTGAAGATTCTGGAAATCCCCCTATCTCAGACCCACAGTCCATGTGACTTTAAAAATAAAATGTGGAGGAAACTGTGAAAACCATGTCACCTAGACATTCCTAGCTAGAGAGGAGAAGACAATGCCTGGCTTCGAAGCATCAAAAAAACAGGTTGACTTGTCTAATGCAGCCGGTGACTTTATGTTGAAGCTAATGCTCATTTACCATTCTGAAAATCCTAGGAATTATGCTAAACCTAATATTCCTGTACTCTGTAAATGAAACAACAAAGCCCAGATGACAGCACAAGAGTTTAGAGTTTACAGCATGGTTTATTGAATATTTTAAGCCCAGTGTTGAGACCTACTGCTTAGAAAATAAGATTCCTTTCAAAATATTATAACTCTTTGATAATGTACCTGGTTACATCCAAGAACTCTATGGGAGATACACAAGAAGATAAATGCTGCTTAAATGCCTGTTAACATAACATCTATTCTGCTGCCCCCTTATCAAGGAGTAATTTTAACTTTCAAGTCTTATTATTTAAGAAATACATTTCATAAGGTTATATCTGCCACAGATAGTGATTCCTCTGACGGGTCTGGGAGAAAACCTTCTGGAAAGGATTCATCATTCTAGATGCCACTAAGAACATTTGTTATTTATGGGAGGAGGTAGAAAAATGTCAACATTAAAAGAAGTTTGGAAGAAGTTGATTCCAGCCCTCACAGATGACTATGAAGGGTGCAAGACTTCAGTGGAGGAAGTAACGGTAGATGTTTTGGAAATAGCAAGAGAACTAGAATTTGAAGTAGAGCCTGAAGAGGTGACTGACTTGCTGCAATCTGACAATAAAATTTGAATGGATGAGGAGTTGCTTCTTACAAATGAGCAAAGAAAGTGGTCTCTTGAGATGAAATCTGCTCCTGGTAAAGATGCTGTGATGTCATTTTTGAAATGACAGCAAAGGATTTAGAATATTCTATGGACTTGGTCGATAAAGCAGCAGCAGACTTTGAAAGGATTATGCCAATTTTGAAAGAAGTTCTACTGTAGGTAAAACGCTATCAAACCACAACACAAATGACAGAGACATCTTTCACAAAAGAGTCAATCGGTGCATCAAACTTCGTTGTTGCCCTCTTTTCAGAATTTGCCACAGGCACTTCAGCTTTCAGCAACCACCACTCTGATTCATCAGGAGCCATCAACATCAAGGCAAGACCCTCCACCAGCAAAGAGATTATAACTCACTGAAGGCTCAGATGATCAATAGCATTTTTCAGCATAGAATCTTTTAAAATTAAGATATTTACATTGTTTTTAGACATAATGCTAATGCACACTTAATAGACTACAGTAATGGTATAATGGTATAAAAATAACTTATATATATACTGAGAAACCCCAAAATTTGTATAACTCACTTCATTGTGATACTAGCTTCATTACAGTGGTCCGGAACCAAACCCTTAATATCTCCAAGGTATGACTATGTTTATGTCATTGTTAATGGTGTAGTGTTTAAGCTCTCCTAGGTACATATTATTTTAGTTTAAAAACTAATATATTATTGTGCTTGAGGACCAAAAATGTATCTGAGATCTAAAAAAAAATGTGTATAAATAGTGGAACAGATCACAACTTCTTTAAGTTCTCTTACCATCTGCAATTTTATATTGTTGCTATAAAACCTAGACGTTCTGCTTCCAAAATATAGTGGACACCTGTTTTGTCAGTGGCATTTATGTGCAAATGTAATTAACTAGAAAGAAAATATGTAGCTAGACTTACGTTTTCACTAGATTCTCTTGCATCCTAGGCAGTTGATCCATCTGTTGCCTTTTAGAAACTTGATGTAAACCAGAACCCTGAAATACAAAAATTTGAGTGTTTATCCTCTTAGTACATAATTGATTTCAGAAATAAGAGAGATAGTCAATTCTCAATTAACTCTCCCATAACCTGGTTTTTCTGCAGCATATGTAAGAGAAGCTTTTTGTGTGTGAGCTAAGATATTAGATCATTTGATATGAGTGACAGGTTTGGGTATATTGGAACAGAAAATAGAATTCATTCATTCCTTCAGCTAATGTTATGGAGCATCTACTATATGCTGCCACTACATTAGCACTTAGGTACAAAGACAAACGGGTCCTAGTTCTATTGGGGAAACAACAAAATAAATAGGTGACTATAATTAAGTGCCTTGATAGAGATGTGCACAGGTGCTTTGTAAGCATACAGGAGATGTAGTTAATTGAGGGTTTGGGGGGCTCCACATGGAAGAGTAGCCAATTAAGAACTAAGGAAAGGATATTCTAGGTAGAAGGAACAGTAAGGACCTCAGGTATAAAGCAGTAAATATATCCAGAAACTGCACATAGCATTTGGTCTAACGGCAGTCTAGGATATTAGCAGGGACAAGGTTGCAGAGACAGGTACAGCCAAGTTGGAGAGGACCCTATAGAGACCACACCACAGAGCTTTGCTGTGATCCTCTGGGTAATGCAAACTGAAGGTTTTTAACAGGAAACAACACTATTGTATCTGTATTTCAGAATGATAGGCAGCAGAGAAGAAAAATGGGTGCGGCAGAGTTAGTTAAGACTTTGGTCACTATGCTGTTGACATTATATCTAAAGTACTAAATTTAAACCTAAGTACTACATTTAAACCTAGGGAGCCACATTTTTAAATGAACAATAACAGAATTGTCCAAAAAGGCAGCTGAAATACCTGGGCAGTCTGGAACCTATGTTGTGGGAATGGCTAATGTAACTTAATATTTTAGCTTAGAAAACAAAACAAAACAAAAAACTAAGGGAAGACTGAGAGGCATTTACAAATCTTTGAAAACCTATCTTGCAGGAAGAGTGTAGACTTGTTCTTATTCTTCAGAGGATGTAACTAAAACCAATGGATTTTAAGGAAGTTTCAGGAAAGGAGAATAAGAGGCATTACATGATATTTTAACAATTTTAACAATTAGAACTTCCCGATAATGAAACAGAAAAGCCTCAGATTCCTTATCTGTGAGCTAAAAGCATTATATTCCTCAACCTCTCACAGCCATTGCTAAAATTCTATGTTTACGAGGATAGAAGCTAAAGCTTAAGTTTATTATGTGTTGCAAAAAGCTCTAATTAGTCTTTCTGCCTGACTTTAAGTAATGTAACGTACCTATGTATTAAAAAGCAATGTCCGTAGTGTTCTTACGTTGTGCATATCAGAAGACTCCCAAGAGGGCGAAACTCAGTTTCATTCAAAACAGTGAATCAAGAGTGAGACAAAGCCACAGAGAGGACAGCAGCAGAAGGATAAACAGCACACTCAGCAAATAGCTCTAGTTATCTACCAATGAATCAATTATTTATGTATTCAGCCTGGGAAGAACTGCAAATCATCCATTAACCTTTCCAATCACCATAGTATCCACATGGTTAGGACTGTCCTTCACTATAGAGATTAACAATTCACTCTAGAGTGAAAATCCTTATTAACATTTATACTGGGGACAGGATTAACATCTTCCTGGGAAGCTGTTAAAATAGGCTTTTATCGTTATGTTCAGTGATCCTGTGGAGTCAGAGTAGGATTATTTCACATAAGTGAATTTTTCAGATAAACAAAGGTAAATGAATGCCTTGGGGACAAAAGACTTTACTTTTAACCTTAAAAGAATCCTTCAACAATGTTTTATATATCACCTTTTTCTTAATAACTTGGGCTTAATATTATGAACATAAATTTCTATTTTATGTTCAGTTCAGTAAATAATTTTGCATATTTCCTTTTTGTCACTCTTTGTGAAAGGGAATAGAAAGCATGAGTCACCCTGCCTGACCTCAGGGAGGAACCTACGGCTGAGTGAAGCAAACAGATGTATCAGCAATAAGGGACCAGGAGGAAGGCTAAGGCAAGCAGAAATTCTGGTGTCCGTGTTACAGAGGGGCTCGGAAAATCAGAAAAGAAACATAGGAAACTGATATTCACCATTTACTGGAATTTAAAACCTACTATGTGCCAGAAACTTCACCCAGCACTGCACATATATTATTTCTCTACATACTCACAAAACCCCTGCAAGATACTGATACTTTCTTTTCACAGGTGAGGAAGGAAATTAAGGCCCAGAAAGGTCACATAATAGCAAGTGCAGAGCTGGGATTCAGATTCAGATTTGCAATCCCACTACAGTCTGGTCTTTTCATCATGTCATGGCCCCATAAAGAGGTAGCGTTTGTGCTAGACCTTGAAGGAAGTGGAATTGGCATGTATGAGAAGGAGCACATTCCAAGCACATAGTCTGAGGAAAGGCATAAGGGTGCCTGTGTTCTAGGAGGAATCAATGCATCCAGCCCAGTATCAAGGACCATGAAGTTTAAGCTAATCATCCATTTTACAGACAAGAGACTGCAAGAGCTGATCCTATCTTGTCTCAGTTTCTTCTTGTTTACCTTAGTCAACACCGTAACACACACTTCCCTTTACCCATGATAGACCTTTCTCAAAATTTTCTAAATATCCCCCTATTGGCTCTAATCCCCAAACCTAATGCTCTTCCTCTCAATCCTTTCATTAATCCCTCTAGATATTCGGGATCAGTGACTAGCAGATTATTCTTCATGCTACTCCCATCCTCAATATCCTCTACCTCCTTGTCAGACCTAGTTGTGTCTTCAGGACTCCAATCCTCTTTTCGGCTCTTTTTCCCTTGATCGTCACTGTTGAACTTCACAGCTATATCCTAGAGTATTTTTTCTTTTCCCACTGTATATTCTTCCCAATGCATTTCATTCATTCAATGACTTCATTTTTTTTTTTTTTTTTTTTTT